GTTGACGTCTGTGGTCTGTAAATATCCGAGTGAAGAAGAAAAAAGAAAAGTTTCAAATATAAGACCAAAAATCAAAAAACTGTTGCTTGCTTGAGAGTTCTTTCCTGTTCACAAGTGATCAAGAGCAAAAGCCAAGTCGGTCCCCCGTGCGGACGCACGAGACTCAAGGAAAAGGAGCACCCATGGAGTATGACAAATGTTTTCGCATACAGAAAAATGGAAGGGCCACTTTTAAATTGGTCGGTCAAGTCAGTCAAGAAAGCGATTCTCCATTATTTGTTTTGTCCAGTTCATTTCAGCAGCTTTCCGTTCAAGGAGTTACGGCAAAAAGTTCTCACGGAATAAATCGGGACCAATGACCGATGCAATAACACACATCCAGCTATTCTGACAGTTGCTTCGTTACACTGCCAGCAAATCACATTTTGGGGGGTCGGGGTGATTTCGGTCAAGGAAGGCAGCGCCATTTGTCTCCCAAGGCTCTCCAAGTACAGTATTGCGGTGATCTAGTCCTGTCCCGCTTGCTTTTCCTCGTGGCTGTCCCCGGGAGCCGACGACGGGCCAGTTTTTTCGCAGGCGGCGGCGGCGCAGTCCTCCTCCGGCCGTGACCGCCCCGCGCGGTGGCGACATTGTGTCGGCTCTTCGGTGTCGTCTTCGCTCCATCCTGGCTTGTCCTCTCCTCCGCAAGGGTTTTCGGGTCCCGTCCAAGCACGCCAGGTCTTTGCTCGCGAGGTCCCGAGCCCAATATTGCACTTTTCGAGCGCTACTTTCGACAGAGCTGCGGACGTGGTCGGCGAACACCGGACCAGGGATGCCATTCCGGGGCATCTCGGAGAACAAGACCGAGCCAGCCCTGGCAGCTGACGCTGAGCCTCTTGCGGGCCTCTTCTCCTGAGGGTGTCTTTCCAGCCACTGCCTGCTTCCGGCATTTATCAGCCACCCTGGCGGTGTCCGAGCCACGTTGAAGCTCCACTCAAAGAAATTTGCCCGCCCTCCAAATTTGAGACATCTTAAGCCTTTATTGCGTTTATTCTTCCAAACATCTAAATCCAAAGCAACGTTATGAGGGATTACAAAAGACGAACCACATCACTAAAATTGAAAAAAATAAGAATACCGGTACATTGGGTTCACAAAAGAATGAACTTTCACCCCAACAAACTAAAACGCAAATGTGAAATGGAAATTATACCTTTTAGAGAGGGGGGAGGAGGGGTGTTGTCCCCTTTTGTAGTAAACATGGATGGAATGCGTAGCCCAAAAACAGAGTAGGGACCCTATCCGCTACCGTCCCATCGCAGCAGCGCGCAGCTAAAGAGCATTTATTAGCGCCTCAGACCTCCCAAATCATCATCAAAACGAGACACGGCTCTGCTTCGGATGACGAGTGTCCGATGTTTCTTGTCACTGATGATGGATGTGCATGTGTAGCGCCAAACTGTTGTTGTGAGCAAAGCTTTGACCGCACGTGAGACAACTGAAAGGCTTTTCTCCCGTGTGTATTCTCATGTGCGTTCCCAAGTTTGACTTGATGGTGAATCGTTTCCCACATTTTGAGCAGCAAAACGGTTTTTCTCCAGTGTGCTTTCTCATGTGTACGTCCACGCTTGTTTTTCGAGCAAATTTGGTCCCGCAAACTGAGCAGTCAAAGGGTTTTTCCCCCGTGTGGGTCCGCGTGTGTGTTTCCAGGTGTGTCTTTTGAGAGAACGCTTTGCCACAAACAGAGCACCCAAAGGGTTTTTCCCCGGTGTGCGTTCTCATGTGTCTCGCCTTGTGTCCAGCTCGGGCAAATCGTTTATGACAAGTTGGGCAGCTGTATTTTTTTTTCTCTCTGAGCCCGCGGCGCCTCTTGCGCGGTTGAGAGGTTTTCTTTTTGCCAGGAGGTGCCGTCTCTTTGTCAGGAGTCGTCGTCTTCTTCTGAGAGCACTCCCGCTGTCCGGCGTCACCTTCGCCGTCTGCGTTGCGCTTCGCAACTTCGCCTTCACATTCTCCTCGTATGTTTTCAATTTGTATGAGTGGAGCTTGGAGGCCTTCTGGCGCCCCTTCGCCAGGCCGGTCTTCGCTGGCACTGCGGTGAGGAAGCTCGGCTGGTTCCTCTTTACACCCCTCCGCAGGTTTGCCATTCGGTGGCAACGCGCTCACAGCGGCCTCCTCCTCGTCCTGCTGGGGGGGCTGCGGGTGCACTTGAAGCTGAGCGGGAAGTTCTGCCTGGTGAGCTATCAGCCTCTGGACATCTACGGGATGCAAGCGACACAAAGAGTTCTGCTCACACGTGGTCCGAGGGGTGAAGTCAGAGTGGTGAAAATAATAGCGGAAGTCTCAGCGATATCAGTGGCCAACCTAAGCACCGACCTACTTAACAAACAGACAGTATGTGCAGGTCAAACGTAACTGTCAAGTTCTAACCTGAAGCTTCCGACATCATCGATGTACACATACTGAATAGGTATCCAGGTATATACTGTCCCATGCACAGTACCGCTGTAATGTTCCTGACAGAATTACAAAAAAAAAAAGATCTGAAAATTCAGAGAAGTTGTTCAGCAAATTAAGTTCTATTGAAATATACTGTGAAATGAATGCACAGATAACCACCTAAACCCACATCTGCCCACCACGGCCAAGGTGTGGACAAACAGCATAAAGTCATAAACCACGTAGAGCACATTACTTTTTTTTCTTGTCTCGTGCCAGGGCAGACTTGAGTCATTTTCAAATCACTGCTTCAAACGCATCTCTTCTCCTTGGGCTTGGACACACACACCCAGTGAGACGGAAACTAATTTTTCTAATATTATTTGTATTCATTATTTTATTGCTCCTTCCTAATGGGGTTTCATTTCTACTTTACTGGCTTTCTTTGCATCGCGCTTGCTTGTAAAAGTGATTTAAAATAAAGCAGAATTGAATACGATCCCGTTGTCTCGTTTCGTGACGACTTCAATGCCACGGCCCGTCACGTGACGCCAAGTAAGTGTTCCGATTGGCTGAATCGAAAGCTCAAAATGGTTGCCTCCGGGTTGTTTTTTTTTTAATTTATACAATCATGGCAAAAAATGACCTCATAATGTCAACGCTTGACACGACTTTAGCGTTCTTGGACCGGGAATGGGCTGAAATCAACTCAGCCACCTCCTCAACCGCCGGACCCGCCTTTTTGTCAAAGAGACAATTGGTGTCGTTTTTAAAACCCCGATTGGATAATAAACCTTTGCGGGTGTTGAAGTGGAAATTTAGTGAACAGACCTTCCATGCGTATGACAATTTGAGTCTTGCAAACAGCTTCGAGCTGTCGTCGATGTCGCTCCGTCTGTTCTCTGGCTCGGCAAAGTTGCTCCTCGTACGACGCGACCGTTCGCTCAAACATTCCGAAGATTTCGTCGGCGGCCGCAAGAAGACGCTCTTTCACGAAATCTTTCAACATTTTGACGTTTTGGACAGCACGACGCGCACACAAAAAAGTCCAACGTGATAACGAGAGGTTTCTTTCCGCTTTTCCTTCTTCTTCGTTTTTTCGTGGCGGTTGGCAAGTAACTTTCAGGCGCATTACCGCTACCTACTGGTAAGGAGTGTGAACCACGAATGCCGCTATTACCCCGAAACACACACGAACACGCTGACAACCCTCTTCAAAATTCTTATTTGAGTCAACCCCGACCAAAGTAAGAATACATTTTTTTCATATTCCTTCTATGGTGTTTTATACTGCTTTTCAAAGCAAAGTGACAGAAATAACATTTTTTTTAATCATGCTTTCAAAGACCTTAATCGTGAAATATTTCAAGAAGCATCTATTTACACGTAAAAAAATAAACACAAACGTCAACTAGAATAAATACTTGCAAAATCTGTGACTTCCTTTTAATGTAGTTCACTTACCAGTCAGATACAAAAACTCGGCGGCGACACCCCTGATGCCGCACAATGCATTTCAATTTAATCAGCCGATATTAACTTTTGCTATTGACCAGCTTTTTTTCTTTTACAAATGAACGCATTAAAGTATAAGTCGAAGATAATGAAAAAATAGATAAATAAACCAAGGACAAGCTCTTGTAAAATGGTTCTATGTTCAGCCATTTTTTTAAATGAATTGACCAATGAATCTGTTATCGAAATTTTATTCTGACAAAATAATCATCATCGGATGATTTTTTTTTGTTGCAGATTTTAAAAGCTAATATCAGCTGATGTCACTTTAAATCTGATACGATTAGAACCGTTTTAACCCACATTTACTGTCTCCCTCTCTCTCTTTTGACAGTAGCAGCCCTCCGCATTCCCATTCTTTGCCAGTACCCTGGGTGAATTGTACATCAAAAAAATTTTTAACAACAGCCACCTGCCTGGCATCCCGTCATGCTCATCGAAACGTGTGTCGCAGGCTATGACGCAAATCTTCATTGACAGAAATGTTGACATTTAGTATTTATTGTACACATTTCTACAGCATTGGAAAACGTTAAGAATGTTTGTATCACGTTTGTCCTCTTACAGAAACCATATGAAAAAAAAAATTCCCTCCCCCATCTTTTTCCCTTTTCAAGAATTTTTGAAAAACCTCCAGAGGAGCCACTAGGGCGGCGCTAAAGACCCGCATGCGGCTCCGGAGCCGCAGGTTGCCGACCCCTGGTCGGCAACCTGCGACCGGGGGTCGCAGGTTGAAAGTCCTAGCTCAACTAGCGACATGCTAAGCTACCACATAAAAACATGAATCACGCAACTGCTGCTGCGACATTACGCCAGCCATCCATCCATCATCTGATCCGCTCGACCGTGCGAACACTTATTCTCCCTTCTTGTGGATCTGCATGTGCCGAGTCATATTGGACCTTTGAGCAAAGCTTCCGCCGCAAACGGCGCAACTGAAGGGCTTTTCTCCCGTGTGTACCCTCATGTGCTTATCCAGGCTTTCCTTTCGAGAAAAGGTGGTTCTGCAAAACGAGCAGCTGAAGGGTTTCTCTCCGGTGTGCCTTCGCATGTGTTTTTTCATACTTTGTTTGACCGAAAAGGTGGCGCCGCAAACTGAGCATCGGAAGGGCTTTTCCCCCGTGTGCGTCCTCATGTGTAGTTCCACGTGTTCCTTCCGAGAAAACGTCTTTCCGCAAACCGAGCAGCAAAAAGATTTTTCTCCCGTGTGGGTTTTCACGTGTCTCATCCAGTGTGACTTGCAAGTAAAACTTTTCCCGCAAACGGAGCAGCTGAAATGCTCCTTAAGCGCGGGACACTTGTTGCGTTTGCGCGACCTTTTCTCGGCGGGGCCGTCTTTTGGAGAGCCTTGGGACGCTTTGTCCTCACCTTCGCAGTCGGCGTCGCTCCGCAAAGGCCCGTCGGTGTCGTCGTTGTCTGACATTGGCGCCAAGAGGTTGTCTCGCGGCGATCCTTCGCAGTACTCTGACCACTCGGGTGCTTCGTCTTCACCCTCTTCGCTTTTCACGCGGACGCCGGTCGGGGGCGACTCGCTGACATCGGCCTCCCGTTCTTTCTCTTCAAAACGGGGGAGCCCCCGCAGACGCGGCGGCTCCAAACTGGAGTGCCCCCACAGCGGCCGAGAGGGGAGTTCTTCCCGACCGCCAATCATCCGCTGGAGCTCTGCGGGAAGCAAGCAACGCAAATGGGCAAGTTGCTGTGAAATCGCGCCGCTCAAAGCGGCGTTTTCCAAAAGCGTTTTCAGACATACCGGTAGACAGCACGAACGCTTGTATTTCTTGTTTGTGCGAGTGGCTAACAAAGTGCGCACGGAGAAAGGCGGCCAACGGCTAGCCAGGATTTTTGCAAGACAGAAGCTGAGCTGCAGAAAATTGCTAGATGTCATTTCAATCGAGAGTTCACTGCACTCGTTTTATGGCAAACTAAGCACCGAGAGGGTTTCTCTCCGGTGTGTAGTCTAATCTTAGACTTTCCCCCCTCTCTAAAGTAGGTTTGAATACAAATCGAGATCCGAAATATGTTGGGGTTTTTTTTTCTCATTTGTCTGATCATAAAACGTTTACCCAGAATTGAGCTGCAGAAAATGTTCTTTGCGCCCGCGACCTCACAGCCGTCACTTTTCAAGAGCCTTTTGACTATTGGTCGTCACCTTCACAATCTGCGGCGCTCCCCAAAGCGTCTTCTGTGTCATCGCCTCCTGACAGTAGAGCGAAGAGGTTCTCCCGGGGTGAGCTCCCGCAGCGGTCTTCGCTCGGACTGCCGGGATGAAGCTGTGACCACTCGGGTGGTTGATCTGGGTCGTTATCACTCTCCTCGGAGACGCCATCCCCTGGCAAACCGCTGACACCGGCCTCCTCCTCTTCTTCTTTAATGTGGTGGGCCTGCGGGTACTCCTGCTCCAAAGTGGAGCTCCCAAACTTCACGTCGGGAATTTCTTCCCGACGACCCATCAGCTGCTTCACGTCTGCGGGACACAAGCAGGGCGTAATTCACACGGCTAGAAAATGATACGGGGTCAGAGTTAGACGTTTTTCTCTCGACCGCAAAAGAAACATTTGTTAGCACGTGAAGAAAAAGAAGACAAGATGAAGCCCACAGCGCGAGAAGGTGAGACTGGTCAGGTTCACCCGCCACGTGACGCCAAGGCGCTGTTCCAATTGGCTGAAAGCAAAATTCAAGATGGCTGCCCTCCAACCGTTGTGTTTGCCCGTTCAAATGAGCGCGTAGCTAATCGATGTCATCCGATTGACGAGTTCGGGCGTTCGGCGCCTTGTCCATGTCTGACCCGGAGCCCTTCGTGGGCCGGGAATATGCGCGCACAGACCAAATAGAACTCCAACACTCTGGGCTGCCATTTCAACAAAAGATACCATTCGTGTAGTTGTTAACGCCTTTTCCGCCGAATCAAGCGCCGCGAATGCTAAATGCAAGTTTGACGGACAGACCTTCGACGCGGATGACAATTTGAGTCTTGCAAACCGCTTCCAGTTGTCGTCGGTGTCGCTCGCTCTCCTCCCTCGCTCGACAAAGTTGCTGCTCGTACGAAGCCACGGTTGTTTGGAAAAGTCCGAAGATTTCGTCGGCGGCCGCAAGCAGTCGCTCCCTCACCAACTCTTTCAACATGTCGACGTTCTGCGAGCTCGCGAGCGGTCTTTCGCTGGAAGCGGCGGTGGCTGCTCGGCTAACTCGGGCCTTTCTCTGTCGTCTTCCCTTCGCGACAAGCGAGCATCCCCGAGAGACCGCCTTGAGCCGCTTAACCGTGGCTGGAACACGTGTGCGCCTCTGCCATATTGCATGTGTCGGATCTGCCCCGCGAGCCCAAGCGAGCCAGCGGAGTGGAGCGACCGTCGCGAAACACTTTTGTACCAACTTTTGTCCGTTCGCGCGCGTGCGTGTGTGTCTGCGGTAGGTAGGGCGCTGTTTTAAAAAATGTGTATTCATACAAGAATATACTCAACGGGAAATGCGATGGCATAGTCTTCGTGTGTATGGTACGTTTTATGCACAACTTACTTTGGGAAGGCCAAAGAAGACCGAAGCGAGATGGGTATCGGCTGGCATGGAGCAAGTAGGGTCGCCAGAGACCGGAACAAATGGAGGAGACTCGTCACCCAATGTTGTAGGAATGGGTGGAACTAACTAACTAACTAACTAAACTACTGTGGGAAAGACGCGGTGGCAAGAAAGATGACGCTGGAGGAAACGCAATGAAGACACGTTGGAATCGAGCAGCACACGTATGATGGGTGGTAGCGGGTTAGCTCCAAGAGGGGGCGCTCATGCAACCAGTTGGGCGCAACGGCCGCCATTGAACTCGAAAGAAGAAGAAAGAACCTCCTTTCTCCCCCCGCCCCCTTTCGCTTCTAACGCACTCCGGGTACTTTGTGGCCGGCGTTTGAGTGAAAAGCGAAGACGACGGTGGCCAACCAACCGAGTGGTCGCGGCGCGTCCACGGCAGCCCCAGCGGAGACCGGCGTGGAGCGCCGCCGCCAGATGATCTCCTCGCCCCGCTCTCAGTCAGCCACGGCACGGAATACTCCCCCCCCCCCCTTCAATGAGGTCAATCTGTTGGACGTGCGCGTCGTCTTTTACAACGGAAGCACGGGGATCAACAGAAGGATTCAGGCGGGGACGTATTTTCAAGTTTTTATTGAAAAAAACAAAAAGATCCACAAAACGGCGTTTTAAAACTGCTTTGCTCCTCTCCACGCTCACTATTTTCCCGCCAGACGGCATGTACAGTATTTGCCAGCTCCTACTTTGACGATATCAGATCCAAACCATCCCCAACATTTCATTCGCACATCGTTTGCTGCTTATTACACAAGTTCGTGCCAGAGCCGTGGTAGCCGTCAAATGTGTGTGTTTTTTATAACTGACAAAAGAAATAACAATCAGACACTCCAGTTGAGGCACCTCATCAGAACCAAAGACGACAGATTGACATCTAAGATTTATGTCGACAGCCACCAAGCCGCTTTGAGCAAGCATTCAGCCACCCTTGCACAGTCCTCTCGATTGCTTTCAGGTCACCGCCTGTGCCTCACGAAATTGGACAATGTTTTTCACTCAGGTGTATTTCCAGTCACCGATGCAGATTTCACCCGAACGTTTAACAGGCACACCAGGCGAGGCTTCGCCGCGCTTTGATCTCCAGTAGACTCGATTGTTGCAACGCTCTTCTGACTGGAGTCACTCATAAGAGCATCGAACGGCCGCATCCGGTTCAAAACTCCGCAGCTCGGGTTCTGACCACAACAAAGAGATCCCATCATACGACTCCAGTCCCAAAGGCTTTCTGCTGGCTCCCGGTCAGCGGGAGAAGACGCTTTCAAAATTCTGCTACTGCCGCTGCTCCATCAATCACTTTTAGGTTCTGAATAGGCAAAGGGAACGCTCATTGAATACAAAGACAGTCGGGCTCGGAGGTCTGTAGATTGAATCGGGAAGGGAGCCCTGGGTGGTAAGTAAATATGGTGAGGCAGCATTCAGCCGTTGTGCTGCACGCCAATGGAATAAGCTGCCAAAAGAAATGAAGTCAGCCCCAAGTATCAACGCAGGTTCAAAAATAGGCCCGCACTGAGTTCTGTGAAGCACGTGGAGTTGCCTTGCGTACGAAAGGCGCGATGGAAATCAAGCCGCCCTCGCTCGCCGAGCGCCGGTCCGTCGTTCACTTGTCCGCGTGGTGCGAGTGCACGTGCAAAGCCAAACTGACCTTATGGGCGTAGCTTTCGCCGCACACTCGGCAAGCGTAGGGCTTCTCTCCCGTGTGCCTTCTCATGTGCGTGACCATCGTTCCCTTTTGGGAGAAGGTTCGACCGCAAGTGGAGCAAGTGAAGGGTTTTTCTCCGGTGTGCGTCCTCATGTGCGCGACCATCGTTCCCCTTTGGGAGAAGGTTCGGCCGCAAGTGGAGCACGTGAAGGGTTTTTCTCCCGTGTGCGTTCTCATGTGCTTCACCATGGTGACCCTTTGAGAGAACGTTTGGCCACAGGCGGAGCAACTGTAGGGTTTTTCTCCGCTGTGCGTCCTCTGGTGCTCTTCCATAATTGCCTTGAGCGTGAACCTTTTACCACAAGTCGAACAGCGAAAGGGTTTCTCTCCCGTGTGTGTTCTCTGGTGCTTTACCATGTTTGCCTTGAGAGTGAAGTTTTTGCCACAAGTTGAGCAACTGAAGGGCTTTTCTCCCGTGTGCGTTCTCAAGTGTTCCACCATATTTCCCTTGACGGCGAATCTTTTCCCGCAGGTTGGGCAGCTAAAGGGTTTTTCGCCCGTGTGCGTTCGGATGTGCCTGAGCAAATTTTCCCTGAGCGAGAACATTTTCCCGCAAGTCGAGCAACCGAAAAGACTTCCCTTGGTTCCCGTTTTCATTCGCGCTTGACGCGTTGTGCTGTTCCCAGCCGTCTCCTCTCGAGAGCATTCGGGCCTTCCGTCGTCACTCGCGCAGTCGACGCCGCTCCTCAAACTTTCTTCCGAGTCGTCACCATCTGAGAGCGGAGCCAAGAGGGCGTCCGGTGGCGGCCCCCCACGGTGGTCTCCGCTGGGAATGTCACGATGAAGCTGTGACGACTCTCGGTCGTCTTCGGTCTTGACAGAGACGCCGGTCAGTGGCAACTGGCTCACATCGGCCTCCTCGTCTTCCTCTTTCACTCGGGGTGGCTGTGGCTCCTCCTCCTTAACGAGGAGGGCTTGTGGACACTCCTGCCCCAAAAGGGAGCTCCCGCACTGTGGCCGAAACCAGCGATCTTTCTCGTGAGCCGTCAGCTGCTCGGCGTCTGCAGGACACAGGAAACACAAATAGAGTTTCGCTTACACGAGATACAGACCTTCCTTTGACAAGGAAAAATGCGACAACTGATGCGCTCGCTCTTTCGGTAAAAAGAGACGCAATTAGCGTCGAGTTTTAGCAGATGAGTCGAATGTAAATATCGAGTGCCCAGGCCTACCTTCGACGGGTGTCACCATCTGTGGATGGCAAACAGCTTCCAGTCGCCGTCGGTGTCGCTCCGTCTCCTCCGTGGCGCGACGCAGTTGCTCCTCGTAGGCGGCGATGGTTTTCTCAAAAAGGCCGAAGATTTCGTCGGCGGCCGCAATCAATCGCTCCCTGACTAAATCTTTCAACATTTTGTTGTTGTCGAGAGAACAGCCGGCGCACTACAACACGCGAACGTCGCACCTTGTCCTGAGTCGCCACAGTGGGAGCCGCGATGCTGACTTCCGCCTTTTCTTCTTCTTTGCTTTGTCAGTGGCGCTCGTTGACCTCCAGGCTAGTTTCCGCACACCACGTGACACCAACGAGGAAGAAAGGCGGCACCTGATCGTCGCAGCCTACGCGTGCAGGGTGGCCAACGTCGCAACGTTTTGACGTCGTTCCACTCAAAATGTTGAGAGAGTTGAACTCTTCCGTCCGTTTGGAAAAAAAAACTATCTCGACTTACTACGAGCGACATCTCGAAGCCGTTTGCAACACTCACATTTTGCTACGCGTCGAAAACGGCAATTCAATATTTACTGCGACGTCCTTTATCTAATTATGGCGTGGAAAAAACCAATCGTTGTAGAATTAGCTTTGGAAGGTAATGGATATGATCCACAAAAAATGATTGCGATATTTTTTGAATTTTTCTTTTTTTTTTTTGTCCGTCTCTCCACGCGGCCCGGTGCCAAATGTGGGCCACAGACCTCGACAGGTCCGCCAATCGGTGGTTGTGGATCCGCCTTTCCTTGTGTCCTGTAGGCGTTGAGTTAGGAGTCGGAGGAACACCCGAAGCCTGCCCATCAGAATCCGAATCATCTTTACTGGCCAAGTATGTAGAACACACAACGAAATTGTCTCCGGTCGTACAGGCTACACTCGTATTATCAATTCACAAGCGACTACGATAAACAAGGATGTGACGTATGAAGTAGCAAAACCTTTTAGTTGCTCGCGGTGTCAGGAAACATTTGCTCAAGCAAAATCTGAAGTCACACATGAGCTGAATCATGACGAACGTACGGCGGCACATTTACTGCGCTGTAAAATTGAAATGATGTCATGTTTTTGAATGAGGCGATGGAAAATTCTATTGAAAAAATAGATCAATTTCACCACTTAATCAACAAAATAATTGATTGTTAAAAAAAAACAAAAAAACGTCGTTGCTTCGTTGCTTTTCATTGTGCAACAACATATTTGTCAAGATTGTAAAACGTGTGTTCCCTCTCCAAATGGTCACTTGGACAACATTCCAAGGAAGTCGCAATGTCCCATCGCTGGTGGGAAACTCTTTTTAGCCCGGGCCATGGGGGCCGCTTGTCTTGCAGCGGGTGGGCGGCAATCTTCGAAGTAAAAAAAGCAGCGCGCTGAACGGCGGCGGCTTGTTTAGCTCCCGCTTCTCCCCTGGGTGGCTGTCACCGCCTCGGACTTGCCGGAGAACGTTTGGCCACAAGCCGAGGCGCCTGGGTCCTTTTCTCCCCGATGTGACCTGACGTGTCTCTCCAAGTTTGACTTTCGAGAGACGCTTTTACAACAAATGGAACAGCGGAAGGGTTTTTCTCCAGCATGCAACCTCGTGTGAGCTTCCATGTTGCCTTTCCGAGAGAAGGTTTGGCCGCAAGTTGAGCAGCTGAAGGGTTTTGCCCCCGTGTGCGACCTCATGTGCGTCAGCAGGCTTGGCTTTCCAGAGAGTTTTTTACCGCAAGTAGGGCAACTGAAAGGTTTTTCTCCCGTGTGCGATCTCATGTGCCGTTCCAGGTTGCGCTTTCGCGGGAACGTTTTGCAACAAACGGAGCAGCTGAAGGGTTTTTCTCCTCTGTGCGATTTCATGTGTCTCTCCCGGTTTGTCTTGCGGGAGAAGGTTTGCCCACAAGTCGAGCAACTGAAGGGTCTTTCTCCCGTGTGCGCCGTCTGGTGTGCCACCAGTTGGCGCTTTTGGGAGAAGAACTTGCCGCAAGTGGCGCAACCAAAGGGTTTCTCTCCGCCGACTTCCCTTTTGTGCGACCTCACGTGTCTCTCCAAGTTTGACCTGCGGGAGAACGTCTGACCGCAACTGGAGCAAGCGAAGGGCCTCTCTCCTGAGTGCAGTTTCATGTGTGACACCATGTTTTCCTTTCGCGAGAACGTCTGACCACAAGTTGAGCATAAAAAGGGCTTTTCTCCCGTGTGCGTTCGCATGTGGTTTTCCAGACTTCCTTTCCGAGACCACGTTGCGCCGCACACTGAGCAACTGAAGGGTTTCTCCCCGGGCTGCGTCCCCGCGCGGCCAGGTGTCCGTTGTTCGTGAGCGAGGCTTTTGACGCAAGCTGAGCCGCTGAAACGTGTTTTCGACTTTGCCTCCTCCGCCTCTGAGCATGTCGAGGGTTGGTCGCCACCTTCGCAGCTTGCGCCTCCCCTCCAAGGGTCTTCCGCGGCGTCGCTCTCTGACAGAGGTGCTAAGACGTCGTCCGGTGGGGGTCCTCCTCCGCAGCCGTCTCCACTCGGGCTGCCCCGATGAGGCCGGGACCACTCGGGCGCCGCATCTTCTTCGTCTTCGCTTTTCACAAAGACAACCAGCAGCGGCAACGCGCTGACGTGGTCCTCCGCCTCTTCCTCCTTCGAGCGGGCGGGCTGCGGGTCCTCCTCTTCCACTTCAACATGCCCAAGAGTCTTCGGCTCCTCGGAGCATTTCGACCGTCGGTCTTCTCGTGCGCGGTCTGCGTCGCTCCTCAAAGCCTCTTCCGTCCGGTCACCGTCCGACCGCGCGGCCGAGAGGTTGTCTCGTGGTCGTCCTTGGCGGTGGTCTCCGCCCTGATGAAAGAGTGACCGCTCGCGTGGGTGGTCTTCGGTCTTCACGGAGCCAACAGTGGGTGACAACGTGCTCACGTCGGCTTCCTGCCCTTCCTCCTTCACACGGGGGAGCCCCTCGCCCTCTTCCCCTTCCTCCTTCACATGAGCGGGCCGCGGATCCTCCTGCTCCAAACCGGAGCTCGCCCCCTGCGACTGAGGGCAAAGCTCAAGCTCCAAGTCACAAGTCGAGCAATTAAAAGGCTTTTCTCCGCCGTGTGACTTCATGCGTGTCGCCAAGCTGACTTTTTCCGAGAAACTGGGACCAAATGTTGCGCAACTAAAGGGTTTTTCTCCCGTATGCGCTCTCACGTGTTTCTCCAGCCTTCCTCTTGGCGACCGCGTCGGGCTGCAAACTGGGCCACAAAAGGGTTTCTCGCCAAGAGGCGTCCTGGCGCGTTCGATAGCATGCTGCTTTTCTCCCGAATCATGGCCATCGTTGACTGAAAGCGGAGTGAAGAGGTCGTCTCCACGGGGACTCTCACGATGAAGCCGCGACGGCTCAGAGGCGTCGTCTTCCCCGTCTTCGCTTTTCACAGAGACGACGAGCAGCGGCCACGCGCTGACGTCGGCCTCCTCCTCTTCCTCCTTCACGCGGGAGGGCCGTGGACGCTCCTCTTCCTCTTTGACGTCAAGCGGCTGCGGAGCCTCTTGCTCGGAGCCGGCGCTCCCTCCTTGCCAGTGAGGGGGCAGCTCATCCTGACTACCATTCGGCTGCTGGACATCTGCAAGACAAAAACAATCGGTTACCTTGGTGTAACCGCTGTTGTACCTTCAGTCGTTTTTCTATCAAAACAACTTTGAGGTTCGACGGTGGCTGGCCACAGCGCCGATTCAGACGAAGCTGGAACGCCAACATCGAGAAAGAAACGTGAACCCATTTTGACCGCGATGGGACTTGGCAAAAGGCAAGGAATTGTTTTTTTCATAGTCTGCTAAAAAAATATTTCCCACTTACGGGTTGCGTGATAAAAGACAACTAGTGAACGATGCAGAACTCATTCAAAATTGAATTGAAGACCCTCTTTAGTCGCAGCATTTCTATGGACACACTCATGGTCACGTCTTTCGTACACACTGCAACGGTTACACCGCGAACCCATGATTTCCCACCGCGCGTGTTTATTTCGTGCTATTTATTTCGTTGTTTCATGCAACGTACAACTTGGATGAAGGCAGACATCGTCCAAGAAAGAAAGATATACGGCTGCCGGGTAATTGTCGCAAAAAAAAAAAAAAAAAAGCCGGGAACCTGCTTATCCACATGTTACTTACAATAGTCGGGCCATTTATTTGGTCCAGGAATGAAAACCCTCAAAGCAGAAGAGGTGTGCACAGACCTGGGGCGTGCAACACGGTGCGACGCTCGCCGACAACGTCCGGTTGGTTTCTCGGTCGCTCGTAGGACGCCATTGTCCAATCGGAAGGCTAACAAGTGTCACTTCTCGCTCCTGCGCCAACTGCTGCTTTTTGATTCCTGTCGATTGGACTCGCTTTCCCGGCCCCGCGACCGCCCCCACCCCCAGCCGTCACTTCGTTTGTGCGCAGTCAGGAGGCGGTGCCGCCATTTTGTTTTCTTCGACGCCGACATCCGAGCAGGCGGAGGTCCACGGTGACGCAAGGTTGCCCTCTGGCGGCCCTTTCAAGAGGCGCGCCGACAAAGAAAGTCGCCTCCTTTCCTTTCCTGGTCGGCAACCTTCACTACCCAAGAAGCCAGCATGGAAGGAAGACATTGACGCATTGCTCAATACCCAAATGTGAGAGAATGACAGATAACATTATTTCACGATGCACAGCAGCGACACAATTGGACCAATTGCTGCCACAGCACCGCTCGCATTTGTTTGCAGGGAGACAACATAACAGAACGCAAGCAGTAACTTTGGAAGCAATCGTGCAGGGATCGGAAAGCGCAGCTCGGGTTCAGGAAATCACGACTTGCAGAGGAGTCATGCCAGATTGGCTTTCCTTCCTTGCGTTGCATCCAATTCCAACCGCGCTTGTCCCGGAGCCTTACCCATCTGACTTTGGGCTGAAGGCCGACGACACCCTGAACCGGTCGCCGCCCAGTCGCAGGGCGCGAAGAGGATCACCACCATCAATATGCAACAACGTCATTCTCTGCCACTCTCGAAACATTGAACTGAGCACTTGTGCAACGCTGCGAAGAAAAATCACAATCTTCCGTCACAACGGCTGCCGCTCGAAACGGGTGGCGTGAGCACGGCCGCTGCCGCTAACTGAGCGACGAAAGAAGAATCTCGCGCGTGTGTTCTCATGTGCGACACGGTGTTACGCTTTTTCGAGAGAACGTTTGGCCACACGTCGAGCAACTGAAAGGTTTCTCTCCGGTGCGCCACACTGGGTGTATCTGCGCCGGTCAAGAACAACGCTCCGTTCTGATGTCCACAATAGTTTAATTGCGCCTCCATGATGGAACACCGCGAAAACTAAAAAAACATTTCAAACATCAACAATCAACATTGACAGAATGACAAGCAGTATGGAAGTAAAGTCCAAGAAAATGTTGCTGAGAAACATCAAAAGTCCAATTGAAAACCACTCTGCTGTGCAAGCAAACACTGCTGACATTAATACAGTGAACCCTCGCGGTTCGCCTTTCACTAGTCATGGACAACTGAAGCTTCATGAAGCACTTGTGATGCAGTGGAATTGGATTACTTTTCCATTGCACTGAACCAAGAGCACCATCTCGAAGACTCCAAAAATATATTAAATAAAGTGCATTTTTTTCCCATCGCTACCTTTCACGGCTTCACTGTTTCACTGATTTTTTTTTTCATTAATGCAGTTTTTTTTTCCGAACAGTGCCTTGTGTTCTGCATCCTGCTTGGCCGAGGGACTCTAAAGCAATGTCAACAGCCTCTGTACAGCTTGCAAAATTTACGTTTGCAACAAAAACAGGTTTTAAGATTGGGTTTCATTCTAGAGTACAGTATTGTATTGTATAATAATGCTTAAAAAAAGCTGACAGTAACTGTCGTGATTATAAATTCATGGTAATATTAAAAGCAATGCGGCTTTCTACATAATGGTTAAAAAAAGACTCAAGTCGCTGAAGCTGTAGCGGTACACTTGCCTGACTTGCGTGCGGGCAGCGTGGCACCGATTCCCACTCAGTGACAGTATGATTGTTGGCTGTGGTCGGTTGTCCGTCTCTATATGTGCCCTGCGACTGACAGGCGACCAGTTCAGGGGTGTAGGACGCAGGGTGAGGGCGCCGAGCGCTTTGAGGAAGGCATCGACCCGCCGCCGACGCCGTCACGTTTCTCCGGCGTGCGTTCTCATGTGTGCCACCATGTTGGTCTTTCGAGAGAATGCCGTGCCACAAAGTGAGCAGCTGAAGGGTTTCTCCCCGGTGTGCGTTCGCATGTGCCGCACCACACTTGGCCGCCGAGAGAAGGATTTGTCGCACAAGGAGCAGCAGAATGGTCTTTCTCCGGTGTGCGTTCTCACGTGTCTCTCCATCGTTGGCTTTTGGGAGAACGTTTTGCTGCAAACGGAGCAACGGTAGGCCCTCTCGCCCGTATGTATTTTCATGTGCAGTAAGAGGCTGGAATCGTGGGAGAAGGTTTTGCTGCACGTTGAGCAACGGAAGGGTTTTTCTCCGGTGTGCACTCTCCCGTGCGCTTCCAGGTGTTGCTTCCGAGAGAACGCTTTGCCACAAGTCAAGCAGAGAAAGGGCTTTTCGCCGCTGTGCGTTCGCATGTGGATTGCCCGGTAGATCTCCAGCGAGAACGTTTTGCCGCAAGTTAAGCAGCTGAAGGGCTTTTCTCCCGTGTGTGTTCTCGCGTGTTTGGCCAGGTGGGAATTTTGAGGGAAGGTTTTCCCACAAACGGAGCAACTAAACGGCTTCACACCCGTGTGGACGGCCATGTGTGTCGACATGTGCTCCTTTCGGGAGAAGGATTTCCCGCAAACTAGGCAGCCAAAGGGTTTCTCTCCCGTGTGCGTTCGCATGTGTTTGACTATGTCGGCCTTTTGAGAGAAGGCCTTGCCGCAAGTGGAGCAACTGACAGGTTTTTCTCCCGTGTGCCTTCTCATGTGCCCTCGTAGGGATAATTTGCGAGCAAACGTCTTACCGCAGGTCGCGCAGCAAAAGTTTTTTTCTTTCGTGTGCGTCGTCATGTGTTTTCCCATGTCTGACTTTTGGGAGAAGGTTTTCCCGCAAACGGGGCAACAGAAAGGCTTTTCGCCCGTATGCGTGCTCATGTGAGATGACAGGTGCCCTTTTTGGGAGAAGGTTTTAGCGCAAACGGTGCACGCAAAGGGTTTTTCTCCGGTATGCGTTCTCATGTGCATTGACACGCTCTCCTTGCGAGAGAAGGTCTTACCGCAAACTGAGCAGCCAAAGGGTTTTTCCCCCGTGTGTATTCTCATGTGCTTGACCATGTTGGTCTGCTGAGAAAACGTTTTGCCGCAAGTTGAACAACTAACAGGTTTTCCTCCGGTGTGCGTTGCCACGTGTTTTAGTAGGCGTGGCCTTCGAGAGAATGTTTTACCACAACAGGAGCAACAGAAGGCTTTTTCTCGAGTCTGTGTTTCCGTGAGCCCGACCGCATGTTCTATTTGAGCAACGCTTTTGCCGCAAACGGAGCCGCTCAAACCTTTCTCCAACATTTGTGGACTTTCCTTGTTGCTAAGAGTTGTCTCCTCCTCGGAGCACTTTGACCGTTTGTCGTCACCTTCACAGTCAGCGCGGCTCCTGCCAGGTTCCTCCGGGCCGTCGCTGTCTGACCGCGGCGCGACGAGGTCGTCCGGCGGGGGTCCTCCACCGCGGCGTTCTCCACTCGGGCCGCCCCGATGAAGCCGGGACCGTTCGGGTGGCTCGTCTTCGTCATCCCGGCTTTTCACAGAGACAGCAATTAGTGGCAGCGTGCTGACGTCGGCCTCCTCTTCTTCCTCCTTCACTATGGGCTGCTGTGGATCTTCCTCTTTAACATGGTTGATCTGAGGATCCTCTTCTTCCTCCTTCACGTGGGGTTGCTGAGGATCGCCACGCTCTAAACCAGAGCTCCCCCCGTGCGATTGACGGGGAAGCTCTTCCTGATGACCACTCGGCCGCTGTACGCCTGCAGGACACAGGGAGTCAGATATGTTACCTTAACAGTTGCAGACAAAACAACATTGTCTTTGTGGGGCCCTGAGCGGAGCATTTGGTGGAGCCGCCCGCCCGGAAAGCGCCAGATTGTCCAGATGACAACTTTGGACCTGGTCGCCAGACTCACTGGGGGCAGCAAATGCTCTTGATTTGCCGCTGCCTGCGATGCGGCCAAGTCCATTGAAATGGTCCCGCGGGGGTGAGGAAACTGCTGCGCGGGGCCCGAAGTGGCACTAAATTCACGTTTCCATTGCAGCGAGGCAGACTCGGACGGATTTCTGCGCCTAAGTGAAAAGTCTTGGCAATGTTTGACTTAATTACTAACCCAACGCGAGCATCCACATGCGACAACATTTTATTCGGGTGATTATATGATGAGTATTAGTCCCTTCATTTGTGGTATGAAAAGTAGAAGAGCAGTGGACATGTGGACAGACCTTGAATGTGGTTCGCTCCAGCAGCTTCCGGTTGTTTTCCGCGTCGCTCGCACGACGCCATTGTTCTGCTGAACAGTTTGAATACGTCATAAATCGCTGCCGTTCCTCCTACTTTGTGATGAGGTTTTCCACTGGATTTCTCTTGGTCGCCGCCGTCTTTTATCTCCGTATTTTTTTTTCTTCTTGGGAGGGTGCTAGCTTTGTCGTCAAGCTGTGTTCCGCCTTTTTCTCCTTCGATTGTGGCTTTACGGCAGATTAGTATCAAGAGTAACGCATGGCTGCCATCTGGCGGCGGCTTTGATGACACTTCTTCGAAGGGAGAAACGACTTGCTCCCTTTTGTGAAAATGACCAATTGCTATCGCCTTTGGTATTGCAGATTTTGGTTCGCACTGTGTGTTTTATCTTGCTATTACAATAATATAGCGAATGTTTTTCTTTTGAAGGGTGTAGGAAAGGAAAGTGTCGTGAATCATGAACATTTGACGTCAATAACTGTCGCGCTCTCAGAAGTAGCGCCGACAACGGACAAAAGTGACGGTGAGAAGTGAACGGGGTTCGAAGATGTTTGATTGTTCAATTACTTTCGCTTTATTTCGCGGTGTTTCTGACTTGCTGCTTTGTTAACGGTTGAGGTCTCATCCACTAGAGGGTGCTAATGCACCTCGATAAACATGTACCAATGCTGGAGCACAAGGGAAATACTGTAGCGGTAAATAACCTTTGCAAATGGTTATTTTTAAGACTTTGTTTTCAAGCATTCTTTATTGACAGCATCGCCTGTAATAGCAGATCGGGCGTTGCTTTTCTTCAAGTAGAAGTCAATACTTTTGCTGTGGAGCACAGTGCAGAGAATTGTTTTCGGGTTCATCTTGGTGCAAGGCCGATTCATGATCAGTGTCTTTGCTCTTTTGTGTTTTGAGGAATTCATGAATTTCAAGGTGGGAATAATGTAGCCCCCAAGATGCAAGTCAGAGGAAGATATTTTGTTGACTGGAGTTGTTTTTTTTTTCGCAATCACGCTTTTATGGCCGATGCGCAAAGCTAAAAAAGAAGGCAAATGAGAAGACGTGTCTTGAATTCCGCCGCCAGATGGCAGTCGTTCACTCCCCTGGGTGCTAATTCCCCTGGAGCCACCGCCGAGATAGAAAAACCCGGAAGTTGATGCAGATTCAGACGACACGAACTCGATGCAACGGCAAGCACCTGAAATCGATTTTAGAAGCATCCGTCAGTCTGTCGATTGGTTGAAATAATTGGTACGGGAGCGAACGCTAACATATTGGGACTAGTTCACTGAATTATGGCGTCGTCGCACGAGGAGAGCGAACTACAACGTAAACAACCGGAAACTGTTGGCAAGACTCCCATCCCGATCCAAGGTCAGTACACCAGTCTTCTACTTTGAAGATTTTCCTTGCAGAGTAGAGAAAAGAGAGACTGTCATGGAGTTACAGTCAAACGATTTGGAGTCAAATACAAAGCGTAAGGAAAAGCGCGTTTGCAGTCTGGATGGAAGGCGACGCGTGGGTCGGCGCGGCAGCCGGGGAAGTGGTCGGATGTTGAAACGCGGTCAGGTGTCGTTTACGCCACCCGATAAAGTTGCAGCACGGTGCCGGGTGTGCGACGAAACCTATTTGGACCGCAGCATGACAAGCGGTTTGTCCAAACTATTTGAAGAGCACACATCCGGGGAGCCACGGTCAGCTTGAAACGTTTCCAAAAGGGAAGAGTATTGACAGAACTTTTCCTTTTGTAAAAAAAAAAAAAAGGTTCACTTTCCATTTCTGTGTAGCTAACGGGACTGCCAAACCCAAGTGTCTGACTGTGCTCGGGCCACCAGTGTGTCTGAAAGTTGACTACTCCGTCCAGGCGTCCAGCGATTGAATGATCGTCAGGACGGAAGGTCCCGTTTGGAGAAAGACGAGCCGCTGCTCCACTGCATCAAAGAGGAAGAAGAGCTTCCACGGCACCCCCACGTGAAAGAGGAAGAGGAGGAGGCCGACGTCAGCGCGCTTCCGATTACTGTCGTTTGTGTGAAGATTGAAGACGACGGAAAGGAGCCGGCCGAGCGGTCGCGGCCTCGTCGTGGCGGTCAGAGTGGAGGACTCCCGCCGGATGACCTCCTAGCTCCACCGTCAGACAGCGAGGACAAGGAAGAAACTCTGAGGAGCCGCGCAGATTGTGAAAGCGACAAACAGTCCGAATGCCCCGACGATGAGACGGCTCTCGGCAACGCGGAAACGGCCCGTGTCAAACGTTCGGCTAAAAAACCACACACACAAGCGCGCGCGGGAGAGAAGCCGTTCGGTTGCCCGTTTTGCGGCAAAACGTTTGCTCGAAAGGAACACGTGCAGGCGCACGTGAGGATACACACTGGAGAGAAACCCTTTAGTTGTTCAACCTGCGGTAAAGCGTTCCCGCACAAGGAGACCATGATAGCACACGTGAGGTCACACACGGGGGAAAATCCCTTTCGCTGTTCCATTTGCGGGAAGACGTATTCTCGAAAGACGCACGTGGAATCCCACATGAGAACGCACACCGGAGAAAAACCCTTCCCATGCTCGGTTTGTGGGAAAACCTTCTCGCAAAAGCCAAATATGGTCAAGCACATGAGAATACACACGGGCGAGAGGCCGTTCGGTTGCCTGTTTTGCGATAAAGCCTTCCTTCATAAGTCCCACGTGGAATCGCACATGAAAATCCACACGGGAGAAAAACCCTTTCGTTGTTCCGTTTGTGAGCAAACCTTCTCCCAGAAGCAAAATCTGGTCTCGCACATGAGAACGCACACGGGAGAAAGACCTTACAGTTGCTCGCTTTGCGGCGGAAGCTACGCCCAGAGTAAGACTTTGACTGCGCACATGATGCGGAGACACAACAAAGAGAGAAAAACCTTGGGCGGGACTCCTCCGCAATAGTGTGCCGCCCCCAATGTGGTGGTTTTGGGGTTTTTTTTCTTCCTCCCGAATTGGATGTGAATCATCTTTTGTTGTAGCGCACCAAATCTCGATGGTCGTTGTCAAGGTCATCTCATGGGTAAATTACCCACGGATGCCTTGCCGAGTCAAGGTTTATTCAAGCTCAGATGTGAGTCGGATGCGTGCGCTTTTGGACTTTGGAACTAAAATGAGACATTTTGAAAAGACGTGTGTGGGACTCGCGCTGATTTTGTTATCTCGCATGGACAGTATACATTTCCCACAGCAGTCTGAAGTCATGAACGTTTCAAGTTCTATGTGGATGGGGCAAAAAAAAAAAGTTTATTTTTTGAAATATACATATCTCATCCAACAACAAACAATAAAACAAGCCATTCATAACAAAGACCGTAGAAAGCACAAAAACAGGAGAACTAAAAATCCGGACTCATGTGGAGTCAAAAGCCAAAGACGTGAAAATGAGTTTGAAAGATGGGCAGCGACGGGGCTTGCCGAACGTTCAGTTGGAGGTCATTCCAGAGAGAAGGAGCGGCATCGGAAAAGGCTCCACGCGCTCGGAGCCTCCGCTTGGTTCTCGGCACCTCGACTCGTGTCCGGTCCGCAGAACTGACGCACCGGGCGGGTTCGTCGGCGCTCGGAGAGGTAAGGTGGGGCCGGGCCGTTTCAAGATTGCAAAAACAAATCAGAGGATCTTCAAAAGAACTCGACAACAGTTATACTTTGCAAAGCTGATCGTGTGGGTGTGGGTGTTGAACCAGAAACAGATCCATCCTTTTCTTCCATGTCATGACAGGCTTCATCGGTTCCGACTACAAACACGCAAAACAAACCTGTGAGGTCCACGCGTCATGGGCAAACTCTTTTGGAATGAATCATTTGTTTCCGAATACACGAGCAAGCTTCGATATCGACAAATGATTCGTTACCATCACATTTTTCACACTTGTCATCATATTTGTGAGAATACGACCACGGGCAAACATGTTACAGGAAAAGCTGTTTCCGGATACACGTATTGGCAAAAATAATGATCAATTCACTATTTGTTTTTTTTTTTTTACATAGAACAAAGAATTTCGATTATGAAATAAAACAAGACTCTGGAAACATCCATCCACCCATTTTGTGAACGGCTTTATCCTCACAAGGGTCGGAGGAGGGTGCTGAAGCGGATCCCAGCTATCTTTGGGCAGGAAGCGGGGGACACCCTGAACCGGTTGCCAGCCAATCGCAGGGCACACAGACGAACAACCATCCGTGGTCACACTCACACCTTGGGACAATTTCCAGTGTTCCAATCGGCGTTTAAAAACCAAAAAGAGAGATTGCGCGCGCAAACGCAATAGCACAGTATTTTGCAGGAAAACTCACTATTTCGCCAAATAAGAAAAGGCGGCACGATGACTATTTTTGACATCTTACTTCCGGTAAGATTTGTAAATAAAAGTGAAATGTTAGGGCGAGTGATTGGCTCATGGGCTTCAAGATCATATGTCGTCCACCAGAAAGATTTTTTTTTAATCGGCCGTTCTGCGTGCGAGGCCATCGTAGCGACCTCCGGTCCACTTCCTGTACCCTCGTTCGCAGCTAATGTTCAACTTTGAAAGGCATCGCGTCCCTCCTTCACCCGTGCTTCCGTTGTTGGCGCGGCTAGCTTGGCGTGGCGGCGGGGAAAGCTGGCGGAGAAAAAAAAGCAGATCGATAGCAACCCGGAGCTCGACTGCGATTGAGCGGCGACGCCGAACGTTCGAGTCGGTAAGAAAACGGAGCAGTTGTGCGCCTCGCCGCGCGCTCTTTTCGGCGCTTTGCGCCGAAGCGCGGCGGCGGCTCATTCGGCGCTACGGCGTTTGCGTGTTGTCAGCTCGACGCCTCCTTTGTTCCGCTCACACACGATGCGCATTTTTGTCCGAAATGTTTTCCGCAGTGGGACCGTGCGGGCAAGCCAGATTCCTCACACGTGCGCAGCCTAACCCGTTAGCCCCGTTAGCTTTCCGATGTTCCGAAGGAAAGAACAAAAATATGTTGCCCCTTGTTTGTGTGCCGACCATTAAGACTCAGCATTCCAAACACGAGGGGGGAAGTCGTGACGTCACTCTCAAGCGAAAACTTGTTTGGCGCAGGAAAATGACGCCGCTGCTCATTTATAACAGTCAATTAGTTCAATGATTGAAATGTTAATGGCACCGGTCCAAGTGTGTTGTGGTTCTGTTCTAAAGCGAACTTTTGTTCCTGGTTCAATAGCACTTTGGTTCCCATCCACATGTTCCCGCCTAAGGATGTTTTGGTACTGGTCTGAGTTTGGTATTTGTTAAGTGTGTCTCGGTTCCGGTCTATGAGCCCATCGGTCCAAGTTTTCGTATTCAGAGTGTTCTGCTATTGATGTGGGTTTAGTTCTGGTCTAAGTATTCTTTGGTCCAAGTGTGCTTTGATTTTGTGGTCCAAGTGTTCTTTGTATCTCGCTCAAGTGTACTTTGGTTCCGGTCTAATGACAGTTTGGTCCTAGTGTTGCGACTAAGTGTGTCTGAGTTTGATCTTAATCTAGACATGCTTCGGTTCTTGGTGATGTGTGCTTCGGTCTTGGTCCAAGTGTTTTTTTTTTTTTCCCCAGTCCAAGCATGTTTTAGTCTAAGTATGCTTCGGTTCTTGGTGATGTGTGCTTCGGTCTTGGTCCAAGTGTTTTTTTTTTTCCCAGTCCAAGCATGTTTTAGTCTAAGTATGCCTTGGTTCTGGTTTCAATGTGTTTCTAGGTTTTGCTCCAGTCAAAACGTGCTTTGGTCCAAGTGTTCCCGGCTAAGTCTGAATTTGGTACTGGTCTCAGCTTGTTTTGGTTCTGCTCTCGTGTAGAACTGTACATATTTTAGCGGTTTAAAAAAAACAAAAAAACAAAACAGGAGGATGAAATGTTTCTTTTTTTCTGTCTTCAGGTTGTACAGGAGCCAGAGTTTGGTCTTTCTCTCCTGGAATTAGTCAGCGCCCCCCTCAGTGTGAATGGTTCAGGGGCTGCTCTAATTCCTGGTGTTCCTCCTCCCCGTTTGTCCCCCCCCCATCCCCCCACCCTCTCCCTCCAACCCCCTTCAAGAGCCCAGAGGCCCCGCGGCTCCGAGCAGACGGAGGTGAGTGTCCGCCACGGTTTTGCCACTTTTCCTGAGCGGCCCACACCGACCGGATGGGGGGCGGGGGGACTTTGTGTTGCAGGACATTCTGGTGTGTCAGTCAACATGATGAAGAGGAGGAATCCTCACAAGTAAGACCAAGATGAAGACGGCAAAGAAGAACAAGCGGTTCTGAAACGTCTTGTCCTCTTTGGCAGGAAGCATAAGAGCGACGTGGGGCCCAGTGGAACTTTGTCCCCAGCCAAGACGAACATTGTGGGCTGCAGGATCCAGCACGTGTGGAAGGAAGGCAGTAAGTCGTCCCAGTGGAAGGGGACTGTTCTGGACCAGGTCCCCGTCAACCCGTCCCTCTACCTGATCAAGTACGATGGCTTCGACTGCATCTACGGCCTCGAACTGCACAGCGACCAGCGCGTCCTCGGACTCCAGGTGCTGCCCGACCGAGTGGGTAAGGAAGTGCCGATTGCGCACGGCCGACCGAAAGAAATGGCGGCCGAAAGAACGGCTTACCGAGCAGAGAGGATGTTGACCTCTTTTTGAAGGCGACTCATCCAAGTGATTGGACTTTTCCCCTCGCTCGAGAACTAGCTCCCGGCGTTGCCATCTTAAGAGTGTGGGGCTGCCGAGAGATTGATGACCCGCCCATGTGTTTGAAGAGGGTTGTCTTAGTCATTTATTGATCAGGGATGGAAGTCCATGGGATTTTCCCGAAATTTCGGATTTTCATGAAAATCCCTCAGGAAAATTGAGCAAAAATTGCCTCAAGATAATCCGGATATTAGTTGACAACATTGCGCGAACACGCGTTTGAGTTCGTTGTTTTGCTTTCACGAGCGTAGCCAACACTAGTAACAGTAAAGAGATTTTTGTCTCTTGATAAACACACTTGCTAAACCCCAGTGGAACGGATAAAAGACGCCGTGGATGAGACAGGTGTAGTAAAAAAAAAAAAAAAATTGGACAAAAAGGGAAACACACACATGAGCGGAAAAACGTGTCCGTCCGACTTCCAGCGTCCGGAATTTTCAGGAAAGTCCACTTTCATCTCTGAGTTATTGAGGCGCAATTGTGCTAATCAGTGACTTCATTTGAGGAGCATTTTTTTGCAGGTTGATCCCAGGGACAAGAGTTTTTCGTAAACACTAAAACACCAACACATTGAACGGGGCGGTTGATTGTAGGTGTCAAATATTTGAGTTTCCGACTGAAAAATGTAGACGCGGAACTAATCATACTGCCCTTTTGTTTACGAGGTGAGCCGAGTAAGCGCCGCGTCCGGCTATTAGTACAGACTCCAAACGAACCGCAGAGTTTTCACGTTTGACTTCAGTGCCGGCCCGCGTGACGGATGCGCTGTTGGCGGACGCCATGATCGGCAAGGCGGTGGAGCACATGTTCGAAACGGAGGACGGGCCCAAGGAGGAGTGGCGGGGGATGGTGCTGGCCCGGGCGCCCATCATGACGTCCTGGTTTTTCATCACGTACGAGAAGGACCCGGTGCTCTACATGTACCAGCTGCTGGACGACTACAAGGAGGGAGATCTGCGCATCATGCCCGACGCCAGTGAGTGAAACGGGAAGGCCAAGTTACGGGGGCCGCCTGCCCCTGGCTTCCCTGTCTAAATTCTGCCCCCTCCCGTTGTACCCCGCAGGCGAGAGCACGGCGTCGGAGCGCGAGCCGGGCGAGGTGGTGGACAGCCTGGTGGGCAAGCAGGTGGAGTACGCCAAAGAGGATGGAGGCAAGCGCTCGGGGATGGTCATCCATCAGGTGGAGGCCAAACCCTCCGTCTACTTCATCAAGTTTGACGACGACTTCCACATCTACGTCTACGACCTGGTCAAGACGACCTAAGGCCGCTCCCGCCTCCGCCGACGCACCCTTTGAGACACACAGACACGCCCGTCGTTCTTTTGAGAACACGCCGGCCGCCGTCGGCTTTGGATGATGCGACGGAAGTTGTCGGTCGGCAGAGCTTGACTGGACTTCTCTGGACCGTTAGCATCTTTAGGTTGTGTGGCTGTGAATTCAAGTTGGCGTCAAAATTCATGGAAACCCGTCGTTGGCAGGCTAAGTGGATATACCCTTGGTGACGTCGCAACATTTAAGGATCTCGCTGGACTTCTAGCTTTGTTAGCGTTGCTAGCCAGCGCTCAAATTGTTGTCCGAATTCATGCTAATCTGTTGACGAGCTCAGCGGATGCCACCGACATCACATTTAAGAGCCGTCCGGACCCCCAGCATCATTAGCTTGCGCAGATAGCACCTGAGTTTGAGTTGATATTCATGACGACACATACTAACCGGATGAAATCGCAGCATTGATGGATTTCTGGACTGCTAGCTTCAGTAGTATCGTTAGCCAGCACTCAAATTGTATCCCAAATCCAGGGTCATTTGGTGGCAATCTATTCGGGCGCCATTGACGTCACATCGACAAAAGTGTCTGGTCGTCAGCATTATTAGCATGTGCAGATAGTAGCACCCGAGTTCTAGTTGATATTGATGGCAACGCATCGCTAGCAAGCTAACCAGCATCCCATTTATTGACGTCGCAACATATAAAGCTCTGTGGACTGCTAGCTTAACTAGTATCGTTGGCTAGCATGGAAATTTGTTGGCTCATCAGTCACCATTGACATCACATTTAAGATCCGTCTTGACCGTCAGCAACAGTAGCCTGCGCGGATAGCCTTCAAGTTCGAGTTGAGATGAAGCTCATAGTTGAGATGAAGCTCATCGGAGGCCATTGATTGTAACGTTTGACGATGAAATGAAGCTAATCTGTGGCCATTGATTACATCACAGTGTTTAATGTTTTCTCTGGACCGCTAACATGGTTAGCTTGAGCAGCGAGCACTGAAGTTGCAGTCCAAATTCATGATGACCCTCCCAGAGAAAGCTAACAGTTGGTTAACGGAACAATTTCTTTCTTGACTGCTAGCACCATGAGCGTTGTTAGCTCGCGCTCCAGTTGTCGACGAAACTGGCGTCACTCGAGCCAGAGACAACGAGTCGGTCGACAAAGCCAAAGTCAGGCAACCTCGGAATGGCCGGCGTGACATCCTGCACTCGACTTGCTGACCTTGTAGCATTCCAAAACGTTCCCAGCTCTGGCGAAAGAACAACACGGCGATGACGACGTCTGGCCTTGATCTGATGATTGGGCCTTTGTGAATACAGTAATGTGCCTCACTGCGTGTTCTTGAACGACATTCTGGAACTTTTGTTTTTGTGCTTTCGCATTCATTGGACATTCTAAAACAATACGGTGAGCTCTGACTGAAGAATGAAATGGAGAACCTAACGAGCAGACATTGATCTGCCTCCGCTCGATGTTCTTGCATGTCATTCTCGAATGTTTGTTTTGCTTTTTGTTGCGCTTTTACAATCGTTTGACTTTGACGTCGTACGACGACGTGCTGAGCTCAGACTGGAGAACAAGATGGGGTCTGGCGTCGGTGTGATGATTGGTCCCCGAGACTGTGCTTGAGCTTGATGTTAGCATCTTTTGGGTTGGCGTTCCAGAAAGTTCCTTTTGCTGTTGGGATTTTCTAGAGCGACATTCTCTTGCCGTCTGAAGAGCAAGACTTGGTCAGGTTTGCATGTTGGACATTGTAGAACGTCGCAAGCCCTTCCTGAAGACCAATGTGAACAAGATGTCATCTGACGTTAGTCTGACATGTGCTTTCGCTTGAATGGATTTCCTGGGCATCATTCGAGAATGTTCCTTTTGCGTTTGTCCACCGCTTGACACGACTTGAAGTGGACGTTCTCGAACATGTTCCAAGCGCTGTCTGGCAAACCAGGTGGGATTTTTGCATTGGTCAAGCACACGTCCTCGAATGCGCGCTTGAGCTCACTCACCCTGTTCTTGGAAGTCCTTCCAGAATGTTCCTTTTTGCTGTTGGATTTTCTCCATAATTTTCTGGCGTCTGAAGGGCAAGACTCCGAGAATGTGAGATGTCATTCAAGAACAAACGTTCCCTTTGCTGCTTCTTCGACGAACGATCGTTTTTGTCGCTGGATATTCTCCAACGTTCTCCGCTCAAGTTCCGGTCGGCTGTTGATCAGTCTTCTCAAATATGCGCTCGTTTTCTTGGACCTCATGTTGCTCTAGAATGCGTTGGTACTTCGTGTGCTGTTACAATCCAACCCTCCGGCTATCTCGTCAGTTTGTTGCGCACGAGAACAACAATTGGTGTGCTTCATGTCATTCGAGAATGTTTCTTTGTGCTTCCTTGCTTGTGCTTTTACAATCCTTTTGGACCTTCCGGAACCCGCGAAGCTCGGATGTGAAGCGCGAGCCAACGTTCTCAACCAGAGTAGACGTTTAGTTATAGTGAATTTTGACTCATTTGCGTTAGCATGGAAACAACCGGCGGGGCCACTGAAACATGCGTGTCGAGGGTGCATGTGCGTTTTGTGTACGTTAAGTTGTTGCATGTTTGTATCTTGGGGGTTTTCTCTCGCTCTATTTTTTTAAGTGCCTTTTTCTTTCGTGTGTTGGGGACTAAAAATCGTCGTGAGTTTGTTTTGGAAGTCCCGTCCCTTCAAGTCTGTGCCAATGTCATCTTCAAGCCGATTACATTGAAGAAACCTAATAAACATTTTTTTTTTCCAATTCTTATGAGTCTCTTTTCAATATGTGCACCGACTTTGTGATCGCAGCCACAACAGGAAGTGGACAACAATTATATGGCGGAAGGGAGAGGTTTTTTGACTATCAGGTAAACTCAAAAAAATAAAGTGAGAGGATGACAAATACTTTTTAAAACAAAGTAAACAAGGGGCAAACCGGAAAGGGGTAACAAAATACAATTAAAAAAGGAACTGGCAAACACGAAGTGGATGGCAAAATAAAAAGGAAATCAATGAGATTGAGGAGGAAGTAAAAGACCAAAAAAAAAAAACAGTACAACAGGAAGTAGACCGCAAAAAAACAGGAAGCGGGAGACTCAAGTGTGACAAAATAAAACGCCTTCAAGCAGCAAGTGAGTATCAAAAAATAAGAGCGGAAAAAGGGATACGGACAACAAAATTAAACAGATGGACGAGGCCACAAAATTGACAAATGAATGGACAAAATTATTTTTATTGATCCGAGTGCGGAAACACTTGTAACTTTTAAAGTGTTTTGTATAATTTCAAAATAAGAGTGTGAAGGAAAATACTGAAGTTAAGTTGAAATGTTTCATCCTCCTCCCCTGGTTGGGAATGGAAAAAGAGGAAGAGTCAAGCACCTGAGTCCTGGAGAGGAAAGTCTTTGGAATGCTGCCGTCCGCACGTCACAATGCAGCTTTGCCATTTCAGTACCTTTATTTTGAAAGTCAGCCGTGAGTGTAAGGACGACGGGGGTCCTCGAGCGATTTCACAACTTCCGCCACAAGGAGCAGGCTGCGGGGGAGGGGGGAATCGTTCACTCATTCTCGAATCAGCATCCGGGAATTGACCGAAAGAGCTCTTCAGCGTGAAGCCACACCGAAGAAGGGGGAGCGGCGGGGGGGGG